TTATTATTTTCTTCTATTTCAGTACTTTCTTCTTGTACTAACATCAGAATGCTATTCAAAGCATCTGAACTGTTTAATCCTAAATGTGTTTCATTATTTTCAACATCATCTACAATAAATATTTAATATAAAAAATTAATTAGATAATAAATATTTACAATATTTATATACAAATATGCCGTTATATGCAAATATTAGATATATATATTAAATATATAATATTAGATATATTAGATATATTATGTTTCATTATTTTGAAGTATTACCTGCTGAAGACTGAATATTTTCACAATTTTCCCTACAATTGATTCTTCTAGTGTGTGATCTTTGATTAGACTGATTATCTATAGGTGTATCTACAAACACATATAGTATATGTGTGAGTGTGTGTATTGTGTATGTACACACTTCATGTAGGTGTATATGTGATAAATTATCATCGAATCGACATCAAATTGATGTTAAATCGATGTATTTTACATCAATTTGATGTCGATTCAACGACTCATTTCTCACTGGGTATATGTATATGCATATACACATGCACACAAACACACACAGTTATATAAACCCTAGTATGTAAATAGACACAAACTTATTATAAATGAATGTAAATATGTATATAAACTCTTATTAATATAAATAAATAACCTATACTATAAATAAATAACCTATACTTACTAAAAGTTTCATCTGACAGTAAACTTCCTTCTATTTCATCATCAGCAACATCTACAAATAAATAAAGGAGTATAACAAATGAATAAGAGATAGTATACAACATTCAATTGTTATAATAAATTTTTTACATATTTTTACTTAATTTTTCTATTATAAAACAAAATAGTATATTATATAGAATTAGGGGCAGCTCAAAATTCAGAAATGGAAAAAGATAATGATAATAATCAATATTCGGAAATAGAAGAGAATAATGAGATTACTAACGATAGGATTGCTAATAATTCAGAAATTGAAGAGAATAATGCTGAAGATGCAATTTACAATAAGTTTTTCAAATGTTGATTTAGCAATAATGTTTTCAAAAATTATAAAATATTTAAAAAATTATTTAAAAATATATACATTTTATATACCTTGCAGCACTTCTGATTGTTCAAATTGTTGAGTAAAATGATAGAACATACGTAAAAATTATTTTAAGGAAATGCTTCCATTCATAAGAGAATTCTATCCTCCTACAATTTGTGCATTTCTTTGATTAGTGAATCGCGTAGAAGATCGTCTAGAACGCACATTATTTTGTAGCCGTCGATAATCAAGTTCTTGATTTGATATAATTTGTGTTAATTGCTAAATGATCTGTTAAATGTGTTAATTTGCTAAATGATCTGTAAAACCACATATGCACATATCCATAAAGCAAACTAAATGCAGTAGAAATATGATTATTCCACAAAATATTTACCTACCTAAAAATATCCATAGCTGGATTACGTGTATTAATTTTTTGATTGGCGGAAGATGGAAAGATTCAACCAAATTATTAGTACGAGCAGGACATTTAAAAACAGATACTTTTGATGCTATAGGTAACCAAGTAGTACGCAAGTAAGCTATAAAGAGTAAGATATTAGGATGAGTTATACAAACATTATCAGCAATAGTTTGCATAATGTTCAATGATTCGTGGAATAAATTACTTGGTGCTAATGCCATTGACATAGCTGTAGATAATAGTTCTCGAGGTGCACTATTCAGTTGTAAGTTTCGCCATTTCCTAAGAAGACCCTAAAAATAGTAGAACCATTTTAATAGTATAATGGCCATTGTTTATTAAATGTGTATTACTTATATATTCCCAGATAGGATTTACCAAATAGGAAAAATTAAGTTTTGCTATAATTGTTGTAAGATCAGTCTGCAAAATGCACATCTTTTGTTAAAAAACAATTTTGCAATTATACAATAATAAATGATAAGAAAATAATTAAAAAAATTGATTTCGAAATAATATGTATGTATGATATACGTGTTATACATAAATCATATACTGGTATACGTGTTATACATACAGGGTGACCAATGGGAATGTGTTGAAAGTAAACGGTTATATATCCCCTCCTCGATTTCGGTAACTGTTTTACCGACTAGGGTCCGCTACCTAAGATCCGTCAATTTCATTTGAACCGTCGTATAAACCGATTTGCGAGTTATATTACCTGGCCCATCTCGTACCGTTACAACGGACGAAACAATTGATGACGTTAGAAATTATTTTGACGAAAATCCAAACACCTCGATTAGGAAAGCTGCTCAGGTTTTGGATGGACGCGCTAAGCATCGAAGAAAAAGTGTTTCTCATCGAGTGCTTCTATAGTAGAGGCAAAAACTATAGTCAGGCGTATCGTGGATTCCGTAGTAAATATGGATCTAAGTGTGGGTCCACAACCTTGCTTTAATGTGTTGTAAGCCCTAAGGCGCAGTACGTAATTGACGTCACGTCCGGGCGTAACAATGTTTTAAGCCGGATCACGTAGGGCGGAAAGGAAATGGTCAAATCCATTTTTTAACGCTAAAGTTAAAAGCATAGAGCCCAATACATCATCGCGGGCGAAAGTGTTTTTGTGCGACGTTTCACAATTTGTGGAAAAAATGAGCGATTGTATAAACGAAAATGTTGTTCAAGACATTGTACATATTAATGATGAAGCTTTGGCCACTCTTGTGAAGAGCAATCCATATTTATACAATAAAAAGCATAAAGATTTCAAGAATGTTGAAGTGAAAAAGGATACATGGAAAGTCATTAGTACATGTTGTGGTGCAACTTCTGGCAAGTATTTTCTATATTTCTATTTTTTTATATAAAAATTATTGACTATTTATGTCTTAAATGTGTAACGTGAATTAAATTTAGGTTAGGGTTAAGTTAAATGTTTTACATATCCATGGTATAATATATATCAGGTTCATTATAACCTTTAACATACTGAAAAATTATTGATTTCAGGAGAAGAAGCAGAAAATAGATGGAACCAACTTCGAAACCAGTTAGGAAGGAAGTTGCGGGAGATGAAACGTAAACCGCCCAGTGGTTCCGAAGGTGGAGTGAAAATGACCACTTGGGATTTAATGCCAGCCATGTCCTTTCTCATACCTCACATTGAACATAGAAGGTAAATAAAATTCTAATTCTCATATGGTACAAAAAGATCCTTTATTTTCCTGAGTTGTAAGTCATAAAAGATATACTGTGTAGAATGTCGAAAAAAAAGAAAAATTTCTTTTCCATTGTATATGATACATAACTTAAGAAACTGTTATAGTTGGACATAACATCACTTACGCAGTAAACCTTTTATGACTTACAACTTTCTCTATGTATTAAAGTATGCCCTAATATTAATTTCCAGAATTTTTTTGACAGAACTCGAGGTTCCATGACTTTCTCACATAATTCTGGACCGTCAACATCACCAAGCGGTTCATCTTCAAACTCTGAAAATTGTGTGATATTACCATCACCATCTTCACTCGATTTGGTGAGTGACGAAATATCAATCGAGTACGATGCAGAAGGGAATACATACAGTTCCTCGCCTGTAAAAATTATATCGGATGATTTAGACGTTTTTATTGACATAACAAACAATGATGGTGATAAGAAAAAACAATTAAATGAAAGCGATGAAAAGAATGCTGGATTTCCGTCCAAGAAATATAAAACTGCTGTCCCGTCATTGGATACTTTTTCTCAACAAAAGAAGAATAAAGAGAATAATCTAGAATTGCTGATTGCAAAGTCTTCGTCTGCCATCCAATCTATGGCGACATGTTTCACACAGGATACTCTAAATGAAACGAATAAAGAAAAAAAGATGCATCCTTTTGTTGTTGCTATAGAAGCAGCATTTGAAAAGGTTTTTGCTGAAATGGAAATGGAATGTTTTATGGCTGTTATGAACGTTATCAGCAAATATCAAAAATAGGTAAACTTGTACCATCAACTATATTTACACGTCACTCTTAATTGGGTTTAATAATATCTGTAATTGTAAGATATTGGCCAATCATAACCGTTCCATTCTTCAGAGTTTCAGAGGAATGGCTATGATTAGCCAGTCTTAGAACTACGAATATTATAAAATCCGATTAAAGGTGACGTGTAAACATAGTCATCGATGAATACGTTTCCATTCCAAAGAACCTTGATTATAAAATCAAAAGTCAATTTTTTTTTCTAAATTTGTTTTTAATTTTAATTATGTTATACAAGGATACATTTTTATTTTTCTAGTGAACAAAATCGTTCCTATAATAAATGTTAATTATGTAATAATTTTATTTTAGCGAGAATATTATCAATATTTTAAGGGAAGTTTCATATCTTTACAAAAAAGTAGAAGCTAATCAGAACTCGCACTGGTAGTAACCTTATCATAATCTTACTACTTTCCTTAATAAGCTTATTCTCATCGAGAGTTCTGATTGGCTTCTGCTTCCTCATTTTCTGCCAAAGTGTGATTTCTTTCTAAAGGTGTCATTCCAAAGAACTATTTGTTTTTATTTTTAAATGTTATACATCTTTATTTTTAATTATGAAATAATTTTTATTTTAACAATAATTAATATTATTATTAATCTTTTAAATTATTTCAAAGATTTTTATTTCAAAGTATTATTTCAAAGATCCTTAACTAAAATATTGGAAGATTAATTAATTTTTCTAATTTTTAAAATTTTTCATTATATTATGCAAAAGTACAGTATTTATTTTGCTAATGAACAAAATTGTTTTTACTAGAAATGTTAATTCGTAATAAAAATTAATATCTATTATTAGTAATCTTTGTGTTGACATATACTGTGATTTTTATTTTAGTATGTAGATATAGTAATAATAGTATAAAAATATGTCTACAAGTATTATAATATACATTATAAATAAACTATATATATATATATACATATATGTATAAATTATTATAATATAATAATGATAAAATATTATTTACTGTTTTTTATTACAAATGAAACTAAGGCATATTTATATCAAAACCTCTGTAAATAGTTTGCCACTGCCAAGGCACTTTCCCTTCCTCACTCAAAAAATATTCTGCGATTGTGTCTCTCTGATGAGTTGCAACTAATGCACCTCTGTTTGCTCCTAATCGACCAATATTCTGGAGGTAGTTACAGAAAGGATCTCTCCGCCATTCACCAGGTACTAGATTATAACTGTCATCTTCGTGATCCACATATGAAGGTGGGCAATATTGTTTGAATCCCTGCAGGTGTTCTTCTCTTTTCATAATAAAGTTATGAAGACACACTGTGGCAAGAATAATGCTTTCACTATTATGAGGATGGTGAGCCAAAGTGTTGCGTAAAACTCGCCACCTATTAGAATTAAAATAAAAATAAATATGATTGAGTTACTTGTCTTTATATAATAGTTCATTGTCAATACTATTATGTTAATGGAAATACCTTGATGTCAAAATTCCAAAGGCATTCTCGATTGTGAGTCTTCCACGAGATAGCCTGTAATTAAAAATTCGATGTGCCTCGCTTAGGAGATTTCTTCTTGGATATGGTCTCATTAAGTTGGTGCGTAATGGGAATGCTTCATCGCCAACAAGAAAGTAGGGAACAAACACATTACTACCAGGCAACCGTTCTGGATCTGGGAAATTAAGAGACCCTTCCTCCATGGCTATACCAAATGCAGAGGAACTGAAAATACTGCTGTCTGGAAGAGATCCTAAAAAAATGTTGAAGTTATTAATAAGAAACAATCAAATTAAGAAAGAAAGGTTATTTTATACTATATTACAACGTACCATAATTTCCTACTTCCATCCATGTAAAGCAATATTTGCTGTCACAGAGTGCCATCAATACAAAGCTAAAATATTGTTTATAATTGAAGAATTGGGAGCCACATTTTGGTGGACATTGTAATCTGATATGCTTCCCATCTAAAGCTCCACAACAGTTTGGTAAATTCCATCTTGACCAGTATCCATCTGCTATGCGTTTCCATTCTATCGTGGAAGGTGGTGCTAAATGAGTACTCTTCAAACACTTCCATATAGCTTCACATGTCTCTCGAATCACCTCATATGCAGTAGACTTGCCTATCTTCCAATAGTTTGATAAACTAACAATGCTATTGCCAGATGCTAAGTAACTACAAACCAATATACAATTTAATAACAAAATGAAAAACAATAATACAAAATAATAAAACAAAATAATACAAAAAAAGTAGTCACAAATGGAATACAACATACCTAAGTGTGATGGCTAAACGAAATTCTGGAGTTAAAAACTCTCTATAACTATGTTTTTGAATATCATCTGTGATGATTGTTAAAAGTTCTTCAAATTGTTCAACTGTGAGTCGCGTAAATCGAAAAAACTTTTCATGATCTGTATGTTTGTATCTCAAAAAAACAGTCTCATACGCTCCCAGTTGCCCACGCTCCAGAATTAAAGGGTGCACCCACCAACGCCGACCACTGAATTTTTTTAGTCGCTTTAAATATAAATAGAGTTCAAATATAAATATATTTCCAACACACGCAAGGATAAATAAACGTTTTCGTTTGTTGTATTTTATTATTTGCGGCATTATTCCTTTGTAATGTAAATAAGGTTAAGGAAAGCACACACTTATCTACGAGAAAATAAACATTATGCATTATGCGTTATGGAATTAGACGTATAAATATTGTGGACTATTGTCTTTAAGGTTATATCTTGCGACTTAAAGCATACGGATTACGGCTTAAAGCTTTCGTCACTTAAAGCAAGGTTGTGGACCCACACTAAAAAAGTTTCAAGCGAAACAATACTCAGAAGGTATGTTTTTGATACTTTTTACCCAGACTCCCTCTCCCTGGAATCGCGTCATCATTCCAATGTTGGTTAGGTAAGATTTTATTTTTATTTGTCGATATTTTTTGGCAGGATTATTGATAATTTTAGTATGTATGGCACTTTGAATGATCGTAGACATTATTTACCTGGCCCATCTCGTACCGTTACAACGGACGAAACAATTGATGACGTTAGAAATTATTTTGACGAAAATCCAAACACCTCGATTAGGAAAGCTGCTCAGGTTTTGGATTTAAAGCGAGAAACTCTCCGAAAAATAATGAGAGACGTCATTAAACTGCATCCCTACAAAATCACTACACATCAATTGCTGACGGAGAAAGCGATGGAAAAACGAGTTGAGTTTTGTAAGGTGATAACCAATATGTTTGAAAGTGAGGAACTCGATGAAAAACAAATAATATTTACGGATGAAGCTCACTTTTGGTTAAACGGATATGTCAACAAACAAAATTATCGGTTTTGGGGACAGGAAAATCCAAACGTGTCTATTGCCGTTTCTCTTCATCCTCAAAAGGTCTCCGCGTGGGCTGCAATTTCTGTAAAAGGGGTCTACCTGCAATTTTTTGAAGGAACTGTGACTAGTCAAAGTTATAAAGAATTATTGGAGACTAAATTCTTTCCCCATGCAAAGAAACGCGAATTAGTAAAGAACTTCCATTTTATGCAGGATGGCGCGACCCCACATCGTACACGCGAAGTCTTTGAATCGATACATGAAGTGTATGGCAACAGAGTAATTGGATTAGGATACCCGAAATTTGCTCATGGAGGTCTGGAATGGCCTCCTTATTCACCTGATTTGAACCCGTGTGATTTTTTTCTTTGGGGTTACCTCAAAGACAAATGTTACGCCGTACAACCTCAAAACACTGCAGAGCTGATAAATAGTATTAAAAAATGCACTCGCAGCATTCCTACATCTATGTTAGATAATGTATTTCAAAGTTTTTGCAAACGATTGCAGTTCTGTGCTAATTCTAATGGACAACACTTTGAAAACATATACCATTAATTCATATGCGTAAGCAAAATTTTTCTTTTTTTTTTATATTGTGTATTTCAATTGTTAAATTATTATATTTCTCTTTCATATATATGGTAATAAAATTGACAAGTTTTCTCTACAAAATGGCGTTTAATTCATTTTATTCGGCCTATTTGTTACGAAGTAATAACTATTTACTTTCAACACATTCCCATTGGTCACCCTGTATATCATACGCATACATACATATACAAGGTCCGCCACCAAAATCCGCACAAAACGAATAATTTCTTTAAATAAAATTTTATTCATCAAAATGTAAGAATTTCAGAAAAATCTTTTACACATTAATAGTGACATTCTTTTACGATAAAATTATTCTATATAACCTCCTTTTGCATCGATAACTGATTCGATTCTTGGCTTAAAGCGCTGGCACGCTCTCTGCAATGCGCCCTCGTCCATATTTGCGAACGCTGCCTCAATAGCCGCCTGGAGAGATGTCACGTTGAGATATCTCGACTTGTTGGTCACTCGTTCAATGACGCTCCACACGAAATAGTTCAAAGGATTCAAATCTGAACTGTTCAGAGGCCAGAATTCCTTAGACCAAAACATATCAACGTTATCCGACAGCAACTCTCTTCATCTTAGCAGCCTCGGAGAGCATTTGACGAACTTTTATTACGTAGGATTTATAGCGTAGATCCTCTTCAGCAATTCGACGCATTGTAGTGTCACTCACATCCAAACTTTTAGTTATTTTTTAGTTATTTTGTCAGAGACTTGTAACGATGCACCCCGTGCACCCCCTTAGATGCATCGTATTCCCGGCAGAAAATCCGCCGGGCAGAGGCAGGGGCGCGGTGCGCCCACATTTTTTAAACTATCAGAAAGCGAGCCGAACATCGCTGAGTGTTGCCGACGGGCCCCGATCCGGCAACCGGCGAAAAACCCGCTCGGCGCGCACCCCGAACCCCTCTGAGCGGGCCTCCGACCGTACCGCTTTCCGTAACCCATTCGGAAGGGGTAATACCGCCGCGCGCCGACGCGGGCAATTAAGCCAGTATAAAAAGGGCCCGTTCGGCACACTAATCACCTTTTCCAATCCGCTCACATCAGGTGAAGCAGCTCCGAAACCTAGACCGCTCCAAGAAGTACAATCTCGCTTTTAGAAAGGAGATAGAGCGAACTCTTTCTCCATCGAGTACTCTCGATCCACAAGCCAGACCACTTCCATCCGATCGTCATAATTCCGACCGAGGAACAGGAATCCGAGTGAACTCCGATTCCGTCGAGAGATCTCGACTACCGGTCTAAAATCCGACCGCCAAAGACCGACGCAAGTGCATTTTTCACGAGGCAGAGAAGAGAGCTACCTCGGACTTGTCATTCTCGTCGGCACTGCGTTCCCGAACATACATCCTAATTGCACGGGACTATCGATTTAAATCCCACGTAATCGCAGTTATTGAATTCTACGAAATATAGCGCGCGTTCCTGACGCCAAACCAAAAGAAATTTACGGAAAAAGGGGCTTTCCCGGCGTGCGTACATAAAAACGCTACGCGCCGCGTCAACGGTCATTGGCCGTGCCGGAATCACAACACGCGCCGTATATACTATATTAAAGGTATTCTTTCGATCCGGCACATCTGATATCCGAGACATACAACACTGTATACGAACCTAACCACTTTAATAAATTCTCGCTCCTTATCACGGCACGCTGCGACGTGCATCTGCGACTTAAATATAATTGCAACGATAAGAAACTTAGCGCCTCGCACCGAATACCGTGCTCACGCATCTGCACATAGCTACATGCACTCACACACACACACATTCACACTGTATCTCAAACACACAATAAACTCGTTTATTTTACTTACACACGCTCTCGCTCATTTGCAAAAACCACGAACCCGGATTTCCGATCCAGTTATCTATCAACGAACCACGCGGAATTCGCCCGTGACTGTCCAGGGTCCTCTGAAATGAGCTGTTGAGCCTTTGCGATAATTTCTGGGGTTCTTACAGATTTGTCTTTTTCTTACAGATTTTTCTTTCGAGTGCCTCCTCCTCATCGGGTTTGCAGAACCTTCTGTGAACTTCTCCGAAGCAAAAAATTTAACCGCAACATCATACACAGTTGATCTTGGGTAACCGAAAAACCGAATAATCTCGGTCTGAGAATGTCCAGCGCGAAGGCCTTCTATTATCGCCGCTCTTCGGTTATATTCCGCACTCGATCTTATTTGTTCGGACATTTTGAGATTACATACGTTTATTATAAACAATTGAACTGGCGGAACAACAATAACAACCCACTGCCAAAGTTCAATAAGGCGGAAAATTCAAATTTAAATTTGTCCGGATTTTGGTGGCGAACCCTGTATATATTTTAAGATTATTCAAACAATTTCCTTAATTTCTTAACATTTAATAATGTAAAATTAGAACATTTATTTTTTAACAAGAAATGTGCGTTTTGCAGACTTATCTTACAATTATTTCGAAATTTTAACTTTTCCTTCTGAGTTATTAAATTACATGTATATGTGTGTGTGTGCGTGTGTTTGTGTGTGTGTGCGTGCGGGTATGTATATTTACATATGAAGGGAATGTAAGCAAATGAAAACGAATTATGAATATATATTAATTATTAATTTTATACTGTTACGTCCAGACCCTGAAAGGATGGGCTGTATGGAAGAACGTAACTTACTTACCCCGTGACACACTTTATTCGAGAGTGTGTATGGATTGGGTCGAACGAATGTGAAGGGCCTGATACAGGTCAACGACTTAAGGTCTCTTTAACTCTGCGTTTTTACGCCTATTCGTTCGGTGGTCCCTTTTCAGTAAAGGAATTTAATCCTTGTTACGCGGGATAGGATCTAGTGCGATCTCAGGGTTTAGGGAACAGAACGGGTTAAATAATTAAATTCTACATTAAATAAAAAAAAAATATTATATAAAGAAAATATAAGGAAAGAAAAATACATTTTACCAGTTGTAGTTATGCATCAGTGAGTATGCGTGTGCGTGTGTGTGTATATATATACAGGGTCTACCAAAAGTGTGGAAACCCCTAAATATCTCGGAAAATATACGTTTTACAGAAAAGTGTTTCCAAAAGTTGTAGGGTTTAAGAAGATCTATATACTGATTCTATCAGTTTGACCTTGGATGGCGTCGTCAAGGTCAGGTCAAGGTCACATTGACTTTTTTAAATGACACCCCCTACATTTGATTGCATATTCTTATAGCTTAATTCAAGAGCTTTCCAAAACACTATAATAATGTTCATTTTTATTAAGTACTTTGCGAGTTATGAGGGTTGAATGATAGAGTAGCGGTATTAACATTATCCAAGGTGTACTACATGGAGGTTACTCGCTCGGATTTGCATCTGTTGTGTGTGTGATCCAGCTAACTAAGGCAAGATCGGTCGTGGATCCAGTCAGCAAAAGCAAAGACCCAACCAAATTACAATCGAGCATTTAAAGACCTGGAAAGCAATCGACATAGTAAACAGTAAATAAATTTGTGGATGCTCATTTATCATAATAATTGTTCGAAATGTGTGCGTGTGCGTGCGTGCGGTGCGTGTATACAGAGATCAGGTTAGGTTGCACCAAACGATTGCAAATGTGTTTCAATGTGTTAAAGTAAATGCTGAAAGTGGCTGCCATTTACTTCCTGACAATATGCTAATCTTTGGTAGAATGTAGAAATGACTTTACGATTCGTTTCAAAAGGTATCAAAGCCATTTCA